CCCCCCTCCCCCCGTCCCTCCCCCACCTCTTCTCCCTCCCCTCACTCTCTTGCTGTTTTTGAAATGCATTTACTTGGAGAGTTAATGCAGTATAGTAATATTAATATTACTATGGTAAAGCAGTATTAGTTCTTTACATCATAAATTTAAAAGTATATAAGAGTCACAAAGACATATGTAAAATGGGGACTTGAGTAGATGGGGAAGATCATCTGTTTATCTGGTTATCTGGGAGTATCATAAGATCCTAGTCTTGGACAGCAACAGAAGGAATAAGAGGAATCTTTTTGTTAACTCATGGTTATCTGGGTTTGTTTTTTGCTTCTGGGGCACCAAGATTTAGTAGAGTCTGCCCAGGCCCTCCAGAAATCTCATGCCATTTATATCTATCATCAATGGAGCAAAGAAGGTGCTCACTGATGCCTTTGGCTGCCCAAGAGTGACCGGGTAAACCAGTCCTGCAACTGTTCCAGACAAACCCCTGTGATCATTCAAGTGTGATCTCTTACCCAGGAACAAGACAATAGGCAAATGTCTGGGTAGGACAAAGTACAGCACTACAGCAAGTTATGAGGTAACTGGGGAGGGTCCTGGAACTGAATGAATCTTCTAGATCTACCCTAACTCAATATCTGACCTTAGCAAATTCCTTCCTCTTTCTGGTATCAGTTTTTCTTATCCGTAAACTAAGGCAATCTAGTGGCACATCCCTGAAGTTCCTCTGCACACACTTTGTGTCTCTCTCTGGATTGTGCCTAATTCTGGTCTCTCTTCTTATCAACACAGGCACCTTCCTCTCCAAAGCTCCACCTTCTCCTGGAGGAATGTAGCTTTCCTGCTGCTTCTCTCCTCTTTGGAGCAGACGTCTGCATCACTGGTCAAGAAAATCAAACGTGGGTTCATGCAAAGGGAAATACTTCTTCAAATTACTTAGTGTTGGAACCAGGTTCCCAAGGCAGATCTATCTTACTGTAATGCTCCTTCCACTCCACCAATTCTTCCCCCTCCCCCACTTAGAGGTAACATATACTTGAGCTCAGATTGGTCTTGCATTCACCAGGAGTCAAGCACCAAAATTAGGCTTCCAAAATCTTAGTTCTGTGATGTTTCCACCATTCCTTACTAATTTCTCCTATAAATGAAGATACAAGAAGCAAAGGAGTTAAGTACTAAGTATTTGGTTTCAAGAACAAAGGGGAGCTTTTGGATTTAAGGCAAAGCTCTTGGGCTCTTCCTAATCCCTTGCCTTGAAAACCTAGATGCTTCTCCTTCAGTTCTACCTGGGCATGAATTCCTGATTCAGATCCATTAATATGGGCTAAAAGTGGCAAGAGATATATCTGGCTCCTAAATACAAGCAGAGCAAAAACTGGGCATTGAAGATAGAGGATAGGGCAAGAGAGTTTCACTACTCACCTTTGCCATGGGAGGGAAAGAGCTGAAACTCTTGAGGGATGTGAGTTCAGACACTTTTCTTCCAGGGAAACCAGGAGTGTGCCCTGAAGAGAGGCTCACCTGTACCACTGAAGTTCTGCACTCATGCAAGACGGATTTATCCTGTGAGAATCACCTGAAGTGCTGCTCTTTTGCCTGTGAGAAGAAGTGCATGGATCCCTATGAAGGTAGTGGCATCCAGGCTGAGGGCAGAGGTGCCTTTTGAGGTTTCTCACTTTTTTGCTCTGTCCAAGAACTGGCTGAGAGATTCCCTTGGATGACAGGGCAAAGAGGCTAGGTCTCATGTTTTCTCTTTCTCTGAGTCAGTTTCCAACTCCCAAGTACAAAACATGAGTCTAGGCAAGGTGGCCATCAACCACCATTTGATTGATGCTAGTCTTCCTTGGTCTAATGTTCAACCATTCACAAATAACTAATACTTGTTGCATGGTCTCTGTGTTAAGAGACTGTTCTTGGCACTGTGGTAAAATCAAACCTCAGTCAGTTTAGACACTGGTCGTTTTTTGGACTGTTTGATTTTCAAAGAGGTTTTATGGCAATTCAAAGTATTGAGCTTCTAATATGTGTAGGAAACTGTGCATTTTATAAAGATCTGTTCATTCACTCATTCATTTATTCATTCAACAATTATCTATTGTTAAAGCACTTTGAACAAAGATCACCAGGAACATCCCTGTAGTTGAACAAGTTGGATTTATTACTCATTGTAGTGAGAGGGAATGTTCACCATAGACAATCACGAGGCATTTCAATAAGAAGTTGTTAGAAAGTATCTACTATAGGATTTAGGTTTGGACTGAGTAATTTGGGGGATGGTCTACAGAAGTGAGGGTTTGCTCTGGATTGGTTGCTGTCAGAAAGTGGGAGCAATTCTATGATTGAGTATCCCAGTAAATCTTAACTATACAAAAGTTAGACTAGAGTGTGGATAAATCTGTGATTGATTGGTAAAGAAGTATAAGTCACTCATGTTAGCTGTAAGAGGGAAGTGTTTGATATTTTGTAGGTTTCACAGTGATCTTGTTTTTGTCTCACTATGTTATTATCTCAGAGTGACCTTGTTTGGTGTGGATGTCCTAAGAAATTTTTTATATCTAACAGAGGTTCCACATGGCTTAGCCGTGAGTGTCAGATCAATTTTCAGACATCAGGGGCTACTTTTTTTCTTCCTGGCCTTCCATTCCTGTGTACAAGGCACTTGGTGAGGCACTTTGGATATAGTTTCTGAACAAGTATTGCCATCCTAAAGCTCAGGAAAGTGAAGAAGGAAGATCAGCTTCAAAGTGAAAAATTCTTATATGCTTTTAATAAAATTCTTTGCAAGGAAGAAGTGGTGCTCAGAGGTACTATATTACATACAGTCGCAGTAGAAGAGGTAGGACTAGAACCTATACCTTTTTTAAAAATCGTGTCTTTTTCTATGACTTGGATGATAACACCGTGAAATTTGACAAATGTTGGGGAACTGACTCTGCCATTTATGTTCCTCCCTCTTTGCTTTCTGACTTCAGAACCCTGCATGCTACCCGTGAGTGAAGGAAACTGTAAGGATCATCTACAGCGCTGGTATTTTGACTTTGAAAATTATGCTTGCACATTATTTATATACAGAGGCTGCAATGGAAATGCCAATAATTTCTTCAGCAAGGATGACTGCAACAAGGCCTGCATGTTAGTTGGTGAGACCCACATCCTGACCACCTCGTTTAACTAGAAATAGTACACCAGTTTAACTAGGGCCTCGTTTAACTAGAAATAGTACACCAGTGAGGTTATAGGCTCAGGCTTTGAGGTTAAAATTCCTTGGTTCAGGTCTTCGTTTTGTCATTCACTGGCTGAGCAGTCTTGGGCCTGTTGTCTCCCTTTATAACTTTCTGTTTTCTTATCTATAAAGTGAGGATAATGATAGTATTTTCCCTATGGAATTATTCTGGGGAAAAAAGATAGTTCTCGTAAAGGGTTCATAAATTTTGGGCAGTGGGATCTGAATGCCATCTACTCCCTTGGAAGAAGGTGTTTCCTCATCATATTAACCTGTTGAGTATCACCCTGAGGATTCACCCAAGAATGAAGTATAGACAAACCAGTCGTGGAATCCCATGGAGTAAAAGTGGACACTGGAGGTAAAGAGAAGGGTGGATTGAAGGTGAAGGCTATGAATTCTTTCCTTAATGTAACAAATATCACAAGTAATTTTGGGAGACAGTGTCCTAAAGAATTTATGAGTCAAGCAACCTAAATGAAAATATGGCTTTGCCCACTTATTGCAAGTTTCTTCATCTCTTTGAATTTCAGTTCCCTCCTCTGCAATAATAGAATAATAGCAAACATCTCAATGAGTTGTTGGTGTAATTATGTGTGATTTTAAAAAAAACCACACAAAGACTTGACCCAAGCCATTGTATCCAGTGGCAACAATTGAGACAGTGACCACTGATCTTCAAAATGCAGCACTGTGTAATTTACAAGACAGCATTGCAATTTTTAAAAATATATACTTTTTTGTTTTTTGTTTTGTTTTGCTTTGGAGTTGGATTCTCACTCCGTCGCCCAGGCTAGAGTGCAGTGGCATACTCACAGCCACCCCAGCATCGTCCTGCTGGGCTCCAGAGATTCTTCTGTTTCAGCCTTCCAAGTAGCCAGAACTACAGGCACGCGTTACCACAACCGGCTAATTTTTTTTGTTAATTGTAGAGACGAGGTCTTGCCAAGTTGCCCGGGCTGGTCTCGAACCTGCGACCTCAGGCAATCCATTTACCTTGGCCTCCCAAAATGCTGGGATTACAGTCTGAGCCACCAAGCCCAACCAGCATTGCAATTTTCCATGATTCCATGAGGCAAGCTGAAAAATGTACCATTACCATTACTTTACAGATGAGAAAACAGTCAGAGAGGTAAAGTTAGTTGCCCAAGAACCTACAGTCAGTCAGGAGTAGAGACGGAATTTTAATTCTATGGGCCCAATGAGCCTGAATGACCAAGGCATTCCTGTGGCCTGATTTGGTGAAACTAGGACCACAGGCTTCCTTTTATAGGAGGCTCTAAGAACTCATGGTACTGTGGACAAAACGTTGGTTTTCCCAGTTCAGGAAGGCTGGTTTGTGAGAAATATATGTTGGAATTTAGAGGCAACCTGATAATACCTCTGAGAGTATAGTCTGAGTCTTACCTGGGGAAGCCCTCGTAGAGTTTGTAATCCAATGAGGGCAACAGCTTACATGCACAAAATCTTGCATAATTGATTCAAATACTATCTATGTCTTAATGATCCACAAACTTGTATCTCCAGCCCAAATTTGACTCCCAAACTCTACTTCCTAATCTACACCACCACCTGGATCTCACAAACATCTCACACTTTACTTGTCTAAAGCTCTCCTACCCCAAACTTGCTCTATCTATACTCCTTCCCATCTTGACTGAAAAAAATTTCTACATTACACTTGTTGTCTCTCTTTCTCAATTAACAGCCATTAAGTTAAGAAATAATTTTAGGCCAGATGTGGTGGTTCACACCTGTCATCCCAGCACTTTCAGGGGCAAAGGCGAGAGGATTGCCTGAGCACAGGGCTTTGAGACCAGTCTGGGCAACTTGGCGAGACCTCATCTTGACAATAAATCAAAAAATTAGCTGGGCATGGTGGTGTGCGTCTGTGGTTCCAGTTACTCAGAAGGTTGAGGCAGAAGGATCCCCTGAGGCCAGTAGGTCAAGGCTGTGGTACTGTGAATATGCCACTGCACTCCAGCCTGGGTGACAGAGTAAGACTTTGACTTAAAAAAATAAAAAGAAGTAGTTTTAGTTCTACTTTGAAGGTAGATCCTGAATGTGACCACTTCTTACCACATCATCAGCTGCTTCCCTGATTTGTTGGGCCATCTTTTCACTTGAATTGCTGCAACAATCTTCTATTTTTTTTTTGAGTTAGAGTCTCACTCTGTCGCCCAGACTAGAGTGCAGTGGCCGCTCCCGGCCACTGCAGCCTCGACCTGCAGGGCTCCAGCAATCTTTCCGCCTCAGCCTTCCGAGTAACCAGAATTACAGGCATGCACTACCACGCCTGGCTGACTTTTTGATTTATTGTAGAGATGAGGTCTCGCCAAGTTACCCAGGTGGGTCTCGAACCCACGAGCTCAGGCAGTCCACTCACCTCAGCCTCCCAAAGTGCAGGATTACAGGCTGAGCCACCAAGCCCGGCTACAACAGCCTTCTTAAAGGTTGTCCTGTTTCTGTCCTTCTTTACAATCTATTATCAACACAGTAGCCACAATGACCCTTTCAAAACCTGAATCAGATCTTGTCACTCCTCTACTGAAAACACTACAATGGGTCCTAAGTTTATTCAAAGTAAAACCCTAAAATGGCTTACATTGATTTGTGTAGATGTCACGTAATTGCCCCTATTTTATAGAGAAGGAAACTGAAATCACTCATTAAGTGGCAGGACTGGGACTTTACCTTGAAGTTTCAGGCACCAAGCCTGGTACACTGTCTACTATACCTTGTGATATGGTGAGGCATTTCATTCTTCCACAGCCTACTGGAGATGAACAGGATAAGGAGAACCTAGTTATAGAAAGAGATACTAACTTTATATATTTTTTTAATTTTAAAGATGTACGGTACAATTCAGGGCTAGGTATACACATGTTCATTATGCAGGTACCCTTGTTGATAAGGTGTGCCTCACCTCTCCTTATAGTTTCTTACTACTGCCAATCTCATACCCTCCCACCCCTGGCAGTTTCCCACTACTGCCAAACCCTTTCTTACAGTATTATAATCGTTCAAGGTCCACTTATGAGTGAGAACATGTGGTACTCAGTTCTTTGTTTCTGTGATAGATCACTCAGTACTATAGACTCTAAGTTCATCCAGGTTGCCGAGATGTTTATAATTTTGTCCTTCCTTATGACTGCATAATATTCTATCATGTATATGTACCACATTTTAAAAATCTAGTCCTCTTTCGATAGACAGCATAGTTGTTGGCCCCATGTTTTTGCTATTGTGAATAGTGCTGCAATAAGCATGTGTGTGCAGGTATCTTTTTCATAGAGTGATTTGAGTTCCTCTGGGTATATTCTCAGTAGGGGATTGCGGGGTCATATGGAAGGCCAATTTTTAGATCTTTTAGGAATTGTCTAACGTTTTCCACAGTTTATACTAGTAAATTAGTTTACACTCCCACCAAAAGTATAGAAGTGTTTCCTTTTCCCCGCATCCTCTCCAGCATTGATTGTTTGTTGAGTTATTGATGATGGCCATTCTGACTGGAGTTGGGTGGCATCTCAGTGTGGGTTTGATTTGCATTTCTTTGATGACAAGTGAGGCTGAGCATTTTTTCATGTATCTGTCGGCTGCTCAAGGTACTAGCTTTAAAGAGAATAAAACACTATTTGAAGGGTGGTGGGATATGGTGGGGTTTGAAGAAGCTTACATCTGCTCTTCTTTTAGTCAAGAAAGGACAGTGCCCACTTTTCCCTTTCGATGACCGTATGGAATGTCCAGCTTCATGTAAGAGTGACATTGATTGTCCCATGACAGACAAATGCTGTGAATCCAGATGTGGCTTTATTTGCGCCAGTGCCTGGACAGGTGAGAATTGGGAATATACATCCCAAAGTCTACTGAGCATATGCCGAGGATATCATGCTGTTCCATGGAATGGAGGATGTCTTGAACCTCAGATGCTCCTTGGGCTGATATTTGAGGGCCTTTGGGAACCCCTCCCCTTTTCATGGCCAACCAGTGCCCTCATGTTGATCTCCTGACTTCTGAAGACTATTTTGCTATTCTTCAAAACCAGTCATGCATAACATCACTCTCCGTTTTCCCCCCCAAGAAACCTTATTTGTTCTGAGTTTCATTCTTCAATGACCTGCAAGGTAAAAAATATCCATTGATTAAAAAAATCATAACTTTTAGGTGTATTTCTAATAAGCCCTTATGCCTGCACAGAACTTCAGAACATGCTCATTATATTTATATCCTGTAGGGTGGGTTGGAGAAAAGATTGGTAGCAAATGCTCTTGGGGTAGAGGCCAACTCTCCCACCTCTTCTAAGGCTGTGATTATTTCTCCATGTAGTCTCAGGAATTATCAGTGTTTTAAGGTTAGTATTGTATGGTGGTATAGTATACCGGCTTTCTGTGTGGCTTTGGACAACTCACTTCTGCCTATATGATTCTCAATACTGACAATTTATAAAACAAGAATGTTCTGGGTGCTCTCTAATATTCTTTCCACCTCTGGTACTCTGGGAGTATAATTAATTTGTAGGAACCCACAGAAATCCTATCAGATTGTAGAGGTCAAAAATAGCAAGACTTTTTTTGATATATCTCAAGTTATTAGCTATAGAAAGTTATACTCTGTCTCCTTCAATTTGTTGCTATTGTGGGGGGGAGGGAGATTTATTGCTATTGTGGGAGGGAGGGAGATTGATCAGAACCTGTTAGAGGTTCCCAAGATTTCCCCAAATTTGTCTCAAATGGTGACCAAATATTTCAAAGTCAAGTGTCTTATTTTACCCCATAAAGTCAAAATAGGTTTCTGTCCACGCAAGCCTTTGGTGTGTGACAAGATTAATAAACCTAGCTGTCAACAGGATGATGAGTGTCCACTGGAGGAAAAGTGCTGCTCATCTTGTGGACTGAAGTGCATGGTACCCAAAACATGACTAGTAAGTAGAACAGGTTATCATCAAAAAAATTAATCACAAGTAATAAGATGCTATGTTTTGTCTTGTGTCCAACTGCCCTGCCAAATTATTTTATTAAGTATAATGATATTTAATGGGGTTGCTTTGTTTTTCTATATAGTTGCATCATCTGACAATGATGATAAATTTGACTCTTTTTTCAACTTCATGATTTAATTTTCTTATCCTCTTATATAATGTAGTAATTACAAAATTATGTTAGAAATAAAGACAATGGCATCTATCTCTGTCTAGCTCTTTGTTTTCAAGTCAATGGTTCCTACAGTATAAAAAGACGTTCGTTATTGAATTTGGGATGAATAGGTTTTACTGCACTTAGATTAATTTCTTTTATAAGGTTATTTCCTATCCACTGGCAGCTGCTACTGGAAATGACTACTGAATTTTATCAAATACCTTTTAAACATTTAGTCATATAATGATTTTTGATCTTCTAATTTGTTTTGCACAATAATTTATATTATTAACTTTTCATGTGTGTGCCATCCTTGCATTCTTTTAAAATATATATATATATTTTGCCATTATTTTTTGGTTAATTTACTTTCTGTATTTTCCCCAAAATACACCTGGCAAAACACATGAAGAAAGAAAATCAACAGAGAGAAATCAAACCACAAAACCGTTTAACACTGTGCACCATTAGAAATTCACTGGGTTTTTCAGCACGTCATTTAATTACACTTAGAAAGATGTTTCGGTCTCTTCCAGCAAGATGGTGATGGGGCAACCTGGTCTGTGAAACCCTCCGCAAAGGAGAACTGCAGCGGGTCTCTGGCTCTTTCCCCAGGGGCTGTGGACCCCAACATCACAGCCTGCTCTTCATACGGAGCTCGGCCGTTGCCACCGCTGGGGCATCACAACGGTCTGAACAGCCACTGTAGCGCAGACACCATCGCCGCCGCCACCGGTGGTAGCACATCACACCACCTGGGCCAGAGGCGATCCATGACTTCAGACCTTGAAGCCCCTGCAGGTAAGATCTGCAAGGATCGCTGCCACCTCTCCTGCAACCGAGAGGTCATGCCCGCCGTGAGTCTCCTGCCGTGTGCCCAGAGGTAGGCATCCATCTCCAGTCTCTGCCAGTTCCTGTCCGGCCCCACCCGCTCTGGGGTGAGCAGCTGAGAGAGCACCACCTGCTGGCGATTCAAGGTAACAACACCGAAACGGGAGAAACAAGCTTGAGAAAGACATAGGCCAGAGTGGTGAACAGAAAGTGATCTGAACTGTCCTTCACAGCGGACCAGGGGTAAATGACCCTAACTGTAAACTAATTTACCACTTGAAAAGAAAGCTAGAAATCAGAACTGAAAGGACATTGGACTTAAACGAAAAGTCTCAGAGTGTGCTTCATTGATTCTGTTAATTTAATGACTTAATTCTATTCCTATTGTATTGTTCCTTTTTTTCCCTCTTCCTTTTCTTCTCTCTGTAAACCATATCTTTGTATAGAGGAACAGCACACCAATAAGGTGGTTGGTTAGCTTGTATGTTAGCATCATCATATGTTTTATGTTTTTTTGTATGGGAGTTGGTTCATCTATAGCTGTGGTCTATTGTTTTTATCTGTTTCAGTATAGGTCTCTCTCTCCATTTGTTGGCACACTCATTTGTTTCCCCCCTTACTCCTCTATCTCTCC